TTGACATGGAATCCATAATAACATTTGCTAATGAGTCTCACCAGGGTTATTATGAGTTACCCGATATGTGGCTACTATGTGGCCGTAGAGCCTATCGCCAGGTGCCTAAGGATTGGAAAGGCACCTGTACACTGGGCCTTTTGACCCCTGCTGTATATGCCTTGCCTCATCTCCCTGATGGACGCCTGCAGAACAAACGTGATACTGCTCCTCGGATCCACCCCTAACATTGGGTGGTAGTTTAGAGACTCAAATCAGCAGAGGAATTCTACCCAATCTAGGAGTTGCCATGAACTATAGGACCTTCATTTGCTTAACAATTGGACTGTTCATATGTTTAATGAAACAATCAACAGCATTAAAATGATTAATCAAGAAATGGGGGAAATAAGGGAAGTAGTTTTGCAAAATCGGTATGCTTTAGATATTATTTTAGCAGCAAAAGGCGGTGTATGTGCCTTAATTCATTCTCATTGTTGTATGTATATACATGATTTTCAACCTAATATTTCTGCTACAGCAAGGAAAATGGAATTTATGCTACAAAATAATCCCTTACGCAGTGATGGATCAGGCACCGTGGATATTTGGGGTGCCCTTTGGTCCTGGCTACCGGATGGATCCTGGCTACGATCTTTGATTTCTATTATAGTAACCATTTTGATATTATTTGTATTGCTATGTTGTTGCATTCAATGTATTCCCACCCTCCTGCAAATGTGCAAAAATGTTACGCCCTCCACTAGGAAGTATGCCTTAATTAGTGAATCAAGATCCCTTCTGGAACTGGAAGTGAGTAACATTAAAAAAAACACAAAACGAGGAAATGTGGGATTAATTGCACAAATATGTCCATGGGCATGCTCCCACAAAGGTCCTTGAGATAACAAACGGACTGCTCCAGACACAGGATACATTCATCAGCCTTTTGGACAGAGTCTGGTAAGAACACCTGCGTAGCCTTTCATCTGGAGAGTGTCTGTTATGCGATACATTGTAACCACCCCTATATACATCTTTTGATTACGCTGTGTGATGTAAAAACTGTAGTAACAATAAAAGAGGGTGTTGGAGTCAGCTCTGGGCTCCCATCCCGAGATACCTGCGTGCGTGTCTCATTCTCCATGGGAGACCACCACAAGATTGTAATTATAGCAGGCTACACCTTAATGTAAGTGTCAAGTAGCTGCCAAATTTTTCAATCTCCAGAGGTGGAATGATCTGGAAAATATTGGAACTATTTATATTCTGGACCATGGAAATTTGGGAGTTTTTGTGAAAGTATGACTCATACTATTCTGGAAGGCACACAACCAGAATATCATCAGTAACTTCCTATTTTAGAATACTTGTTCCAAGACAACTGCCAGACTGGTTGAGAGCAACCAACTGATATGGTCCAAAAGAAAAATGGAAGTTCTAAGTAAAACTGAAGCACCTTAAGTTTGGAAATGGGATGTTAAAGAATAGTAATCATATGCAAGGTATTAAATTAAATACTTTAAAGCAATAGACTAATAGTCAAATGGTCTAAGATGACTGGTGGTATCTTAGGAATACAGCCAGAATATGCATCATAAGTATAAAGTCATTGAATAAAGGAAGACCACTGCATATATAAGCCCACCTTGTACTCCATTCAGATTTGTCACATAAACTTGAGGTTTCTCCTGGATTCACAGCTCCTTTTTGAAGAGCAGGTGGCAACTATGTCTGGGGGCATTTGGAGAACTGTATCTTAGGCACCAATTATGCCTATTCCTAATCTGGGAGGCAATGTTCATGGTTGATCACTTCTCAGTCACTATTGATTGCACTATTGCAACATGCTTTACATAGGACTGCTCTTAAAGACCATCTAAAAGCTATAGTTGGTCCAAAATGCAATGGCACAGGTACTTACAGATGTATCTCTTTATGCTCATGTAACCTTGCTACTCTGAGATCTGCATTAACTTCCAATAGGCATCCAGGGACAATTCAAGGTGCTGGTTATCAGCTATGAAGCCTTACCTGGTATATGAACAAGTTACTTGCAGGACTGCCGTCTCTCAAAAACATATGCCTATGGCATAGGGAGAGCATTTTCCTGATACATTCTTATAAATCTTGTCATCTTACGGAACCAGGAAGTGTGCCTTTTCTGTGATTGCCTTTGTTCTCTGAAACAATCCCTCCCATATATGTATAATTATATACATTTAATAAATTAATAAAGAAAATAAAAATAAATCCAACTTATTTTTAATGCCTGACTTTCCTCCCCGGCATTAGAGGCCAGTTGAGTGGAGTCCCCTTTTAGATTCCCATGGTCTTTGGTCTTTGGTTGCCATTTTTATATTTTGTATTTTATATTTAGATATTGTTTTTGTTTTGTGTATTTTGGGGAAATACTGTTTGCTTTTTGTTGTATGCCATCCAGAATCACCTTGTGTGAATTGGGCAACTTTATAAATCTAGTAAATAAATAAATAAGCCTACGTAATCCTTGAGTAAAAGAAAAAAATTGTTTATAAGCAAAAGCTACTAAAGGCCACGTAACTAAGCATCAGAATTATACTAGGGAAAAAATAAGACAGAAATAGTAAAAAAATAATTTCACTGGAATTAAAAATCTTAAAATACTTATTGTCAGTTAAATCTAAGATTTACATAAGCAAACTCTCATAAGCCAAAATCTAAATACTTAAAGACAGATAATTGGCCTTGAAGCAAAGTGCTACAATTAAAACATAGTGTCTTCAGATAACAAATCCTAGAGCTAGAGGAGGGTCTCCAAATGCTTACAAATGTTTCAAATGTGGAGTCAGAAGAAGGAAAATTAAATCAAAAGCAGTGAACATCCTATTCTTGCCTTTGGCTCCTTCATCCTCTTTCTTCTCTGCCCCCTATTGTCCAAAGAGTAACATTTATTTAAGACATTTATGCTGTTAAGTATTCACTCAATATCAGTGTTTGAGCAGTGGACAAGGGAAGGCTCTTCCAGCATTATTAGGGAGTTGAAAAAGTCAAAGACAGCAGCCACAACCATGTGATCAAAGCCCTGCCTCTTTTCACTTTCAATTTTGGCAGGTGGCCTGATTGTAGCTTTATCATAAATTTTTTGAGCCCCACCACAGACATCCCTGTGCATTAGGCACTTCCCAGTCTTATCTTAAATAGCCATATGTTCATGTAATCAGGAAAGAGAAATATTTGCAAGTTGCTGTTCATGTATAAATGTTCCACTACAGCAGTGGAGCCCTGGAGTAATTGGCAGTTGCACTGCATTGTTCATTATGCTTTAGACTAGGATGGTAATTGAGACATCAGCAATGGTCTTTAAGAGAAAGCTAACAAAAACCCTGGAACTTCAGAACCATCCTGCAATACGTTATTACTTCATTCAGTTTGGTATAGTCAGTTTGGCTAGAAACTGGGAGAGTGAGTTCTAGTCCCATCTTAGGCACAAAGCCAGTTGAGTGACTTTTGAAAGTCACTTTTTCTCACCCCTGGGAAGAAAGTGATGGCAAACTATTTCTTAAAAAAACTTGTCAGGAAAACTGTAGGGACTCATCCAGGGAATCTCTGAGAATCCGATATGATTGAATGGAATGGGAAGAAAACATTCAATCTACAAAAGTTGTAATTAGTGAAGAAAACATTCAATCTACAAAAGTTGTAATTAGTGAGCTCCCATAAAGGTCAATTCACTGCCTGTCACAAAATCATATATCCTTCCTTTCCTTACTCTCTCTTCATGGATGGGAAATCTGAGAAGAAAAATATCAGTTTCTGCAGAAACCATGAACTGTTTAGGCTTTAGTATTCTACTACTTTAAGTTGAATATAGACTAGATAGTAAAGAAGACTAATTTAAAAAGTCCTTTTTCATATTCACATGTCAGTCCTGTCCATGGCCCTTGGTGCTCTTGTTCCATTTGGACCACATCTACCATGGTCCTGATTAGTGGATTCTCCTCCTTCTTTACCTCTCTCTCTCTCTCTCTCTCTCTCTCTCTCTGTGTGTGTGTGTGTGTGTGTGTGTGTGTGTGTGTGTGTTTTAAATGTGTACTTCATTTGGGCTAAAAGAGAAAACTTTTGTCAATTTCATATGGCTAAAAAACCCAGATTCATCCTTTTCTTGTAAACAAAGAGATCCACAATGCACTATTTCATAACGAAGTTGTAAAAAATAATCTCAAAGTGTTTCTCTTTTTATTGATGAACTTGTTTAAAAAAATGGTCACAGGGACCAGGGACCAGAGATGAGGGATTGTTCCTGCCACAGCCACAGCAGACAATAACCTATTGGAGTGGAGGTGTTGCCTCCAATAAAATGAAATTCAGTAGGCAAATTGGGCAGGGCTGTTTGAGCCAGCATAAGCCAGAAAGCATTAACATTGATATGTGGTAGAAAAGATTGATGAAGATCACTTTTCTGGTAAGCTGAGGCTGGTAGGTCAGTGGCCCTCCTCATGCTAGGGAAAGCTGGTTATGTGGATAAATCGTTTGTTACCATATCTATGAAACAGTTTGAATTCAATGAACTTTGGAAGAATCCTGTTTTATTCAAACTGTTACTTCTTTTTGAATTAGTTTGATTTAAAGCACACTTTTTAAAAAGAAAGGGTTCCAGAGGTACAATCTCAACTAATTCATAATAGTAAGATATTAGATATGTCTATGGAGATTCTCAGTCATCCAGATCATGGTTGTCCCAATGGTGCTTTTTCAAAAAGCAATTGGACTTGAAGATGTTTCACTTCTCATCCAAGAAGCATCTTCAGAACTGAAATATATTCAGAGCTGAAGATGCTTCTTGGATGAGAAGTTAAATATCTTTAAGAGAAAAAACAAAGAAAGTCCAGTTGCTTTTTGAAAAAGCACCTTTGGGTAATAGAGATGCTTTCTTCAGCCTGCTCCTCTTGTTATAATGGATGGGATGAAATGGTAGGATTTGTCATCCAATACATCTTGAAATCGTCTGAATGGGAAAATCAATAATAAACACTCTCAAATCTGCTTTAAGATCTGTATTTTATTTGAGTTTGTTAGTAGGTTTTACAAGACTAAGGAACATTAATAGAAAAAAGGCGATAACATTCAGTGTAAATGCATAAAGTTTTTTTTTATGTTCAAACTCTCATGGGCATGCCTGAAATTGCAGACTTCACAATTTATACTGCTTTTGAAAAAAAAAATGACTTCTTTGAACAGAAAAAAGACAATATCCATGTTTATTGCCGACTTATAGACCCCTTATGAACTTTTTGCATGATATGGGGAAAAATGAATTTATAATTTATGGGTTTGATGATTAGACCGGATAGATTCTAGAAAGAAGAGAGACATATTGTAACCATAAAGTAAGAGGCAATTGTATAATTGTACTTATAACTACTGTAAAGAAGATTTGAAGCAACTTCTTTGTTTCTCTTTCCTATCATTTTTATTTTAGTTCTTTTTTTTCCTTCTTGCACTTTTAGCTTTTTCTTTTATTTCTTCTCTTTTTGTTTTTTTTACTTGAAATTAGTTTGTATTAGTTTTTATCTTTCTCTTTAAAAATCTTTAGAGGGAGACAGAGATGATAGATATAGAAAACTTTTGAGGAGAAAAAAGGTGGAAGCCACAAGAAACAAGTATATGCAAATGAAGCAGAAGGTGCATAATTGTGCAGATATTTAAATGAGATATATTTTCATGCATATCACAAGGGAATAGATTATACTAGCTCTGTAATTTATTTTTTGTAAGTAAAAATGTAAATTTCTTCCACAGAATTCCAGAAAAGTAAGTAGTTTCTTGTCCCTTCTTTATTGCCTTCCTTTGTTTAAAATATCCATAACCTGTTATCTTTTGACATTACAGCCTATTTCTAAAATTTACCTAATTATTTCTTAATTTGGGATCAACTTTTATTTCCAAATTTCTATACAGAGAACTCTAACTGATTTATTTAATCGTTTCTGAAACTTCCCCTTAAGTAAAAAAAAATGAATAATTTTAAAAGGAGAGGAGAAGGTGGACAGGAGTGTGAATTTATTTGCAGAACATTATGTCTGTTTTGTAGTCCAAACAAATAACTCTTTATTCTTGACTTTGAAGCTGAAGCCACCAATTTCCAAAGTCAGCATGTATTTCTCTAGAATCCAGAAGTCTTGCTTTGTCTATGGTTGAGTTGATTACCACCTTCTCTGATTCCAAGGACTAGAAAGAGAGAAAGAACAGTTAATTACAATACAGTATTTTTTTGCCTTATACAAACTTAAAAAGTAGTTATTCTGTCCACCATCTATTTGCTCTGCCATTGTAGTAATTAATAGAAAGGTAGTCACATAAGCAGAAGCTGGCTTGTTTTATGTCACTCTAAAAAGTGAAATGAATAGAAAGGTTTGGAAGAACATCTGTGCAATATAATAAATGTAAAAGCTAGAGGCATACACTTGAGGAGGAAGTTGATTTAGTTGATCTTCAAAGCTTCTTTGAATTCTAATAATTTAATCTGATCTGAAGTGCTAATAAAGAGAAGGGTTTCAATAAGAAGCCAAATCAGATATAAGGTACATTCTGCATAAAAGAATCTCTTGGGATAATTTATCTCCTTGAAGTTTTGGAATCATGAGATTTGGAAGTTTCTAAAGTAAAATTTCCATAACTTTGCTTTAATGGTGCAGTACTGGTAGGGAAAACAAACAATTGCTTGCCTTTTGTTTGAATGGAACCTTATTTAATTTGTGATTCCTAACCATAATAGTTGAAATGTAATTATGCTTCTATATTTGCATTTCTCTAAACCAGTGATGGTGAACCTTTTAGAGACCGAGTGCCAAAACCCGCCTCTGCCCTGCCCACTTGCAGGGCCACCCATCGCCTCCATGGCCTGCCACAGCAGATCGCCCAGGCGGCCCAACAGCACCATGATGGCCATGTCCTCCGCCTGGGGCCCACAGCATCATCTATGCACGACGGGGCACAAGAGCAGAGTCTTGTCCCTGCTGTCTGCCTGTCATGTCTTTGGCTGCGCTGCTCTGCATGGGCCACGCCCAGGGATGACTCTGCTCCGGGAGGGCTGCTGATGAGGAGAGGGCCATCGGGGGAGGCGGGGCTGGGGCGACGACGCACGTGCCCACAGAGAGGGCTTTGAGTGCCCCCTCTGGCATGTGTGCCATAGGTTCACCACCACTGCTCTAAACTTTCAAATGTATTTTTTAAAGAAAAAAAATACATTAGGGGAAAACGCTTAAAAATATGAATAGTAGTAGAATTTATTTATTTATTTATAATTTATTTATTTTCTGCTCATTTCAGATCTAATAATTATGGGCAATGTTCAAACTTGAATTTTCTTAAAAGAATTGTTTACAAAACTACACCAAATTAAGCAAAATTGCACACACACAAAATGTAAATATTAGAATATTAGAATGTTTTTGTCTCCAAGCCTTTAATCAAGAGCATTAGTTATTCTTCTTTGCATTTTTTCCAAAGTCTCAACATCTTTTTTGTAATGTGGTGACCAAAACTGGATGCAATATTCCAGATGTGGTTTATAAAGCAGTACTAATACTGATTTTGATTCTATGCCTCTGTTTATACAACCAAGGATTTTATTAACTTTTTTGGCTGCTGCCGCACACTGCTGGCTCATGATTAAATGATCATCCACTAGGACTCAAGGTCCCTCTCATAGTTACTGTTTTTGAGCCAGGTTTTGCCTAATCTGTACTTGTACCTTTGGTTTTTCCTGTCTAGGTGTAAAACCTTGCTTTTCTCCACTCTAAATTTCATTTGTTGGATAGAGCCCATTTTTCTGTTAGAGTTAATTATCAATTATATCAATGGAACCAGTTTGGTCTATTGGTTAAGTCACCAGGCTAAAAAGTGGGAGAGCATGAATTTCAGACTTGCCTTAGCCATCGTGAAAGCCAGCTGGGTGACTTGGGCCAGCCACTCTCTCTCTCTGAGCCCAACCCACCTTACAGGGTTGTTGTTTTGGGGAAAACAGGAGGAGGAAGGTATGTCGGATATGTTTGGTGTCTTGAGTTATTTGTGCAAACAATAAAGGCAGGAAATAAATAATCACAAAAGAAATGCATACAAAAGCAGAACTGGCAGCTGGATAGATTTTTAAGAAATCTTATTAAGAAACAGGATAACAAATCATTATGAACATTTAAATCAGTGAGACTTACCATATTTTTCCGTCTATAAGACACACCTTTGTATAAGACGCTCTGGCATGCGAGTTTCTCCTTGCTGATTAGCTGTTCAGCGGAGCGCTGAACAGCTGAGCCGGCAAATCCAGAAATTCCGCCAGCCGACAATCTTGCCTCCTCCCCCCTCCCATTAGTGGCAAGCCCACAGGGGCTTGGCACCTGCACCAGGTGGCATGGCAACCCACAAAGGCATGCCCTGGGCTGCGGAGGTTACCATTATTTTTCCATGTATAAGACACTGCACTTGTATAAGACACAGGGTATTTGCAGCAAAAAATAGCGTCTTATACACGGAAAAATACAGTATTTTGAGAAGATATTTTGAAATATTTCCTTCTTACACACACACACACACACACACACACACACACACACACCTTCTACCCATTACCTGAAAATCAGAGTGTTAAGGAAAATAAGATAAAACAATTCAAAAGACAAAAGGCAATATTAGCCTGTAGATGCTTAGTCCGGAACTCAAGAGTGGAAAGCCAGATCTTCTAAAGTCAAGCAAAATTGGTGTCAACTTGGACACCACAAGAGAAAATGTCCCGTCTTGTGGCATACATAAAACTTTTCTATTAACAGTCAAAATTCCTGGATTTACTTGGTCCTTTTAATAAATACAATGACTTTTGACTTACGATTTACAGCAAACCAGCCTTCCCCACTGACATGTCCCTCCAGTAGGTAAAGTCTGCCCAGGGCACTGATATTTACAGAATCCATGATGACTCCTCCTGCATTCTAAGGTATCAGGGGCAGGCTGAGAATTTCCTGTCACAATCAACAAAAACAATGAGTTTATATTGACGCCTTCCCTATTCATCTTTCTCTTAGAAGTTTTATTTGGAGATGGAAGCTAGGATGAGGGGATAGTGAGGTACTACTTGTCTAGGTAGCCTGGCTTTAGATTTCCTGTTATCACTGAGATACTTCAAACCACTGTTTCTCAGGGTGCTGTGCATCAATTCTATTGCTTTTTGGGGTTCCTGCCCAGTTGGAGTGATGCAAAGCTCCCTGACCAAACAAGAAACTTTGTAGCTTCATTTCCCTTTTTAAAGTGATGGGCATCATCAAAGCAAATTAGCTTTCTGAAGCTTTTTAAAAGCCACAGGCCAAAGGGGGTTCAGGAAATTCAGGTTTCTTGAAATTAGACTTTCTGGCAAGCTCCCAGGTTTCCTAACCTTTGTAAAATGTTTAACTATCTGAACACAGTATTACCTGTAGGTTATGACAACATTGAAGTCAATATACTGATTAACCTGCCATTCAGAAGTGAAAAAAGAATAATTTGATTAGAAATAAGTAAAACACTTTGCTGCCATCTGATGGTAGTCCTATTAATGTTGCATTATTTGATATAATAAATAACTAATATAATTATAAACTTTTTTTAAAAAAAATGAGACAAGTCTTTTGAAAAGATACTAAATAATTCCAATTATCAATTAGTCAATAGCTTACAATTATCTACAGTGGGTGGGTAAAATGTTATACTAGTCCATGAAGCAGCTGGGTATTTATTTTACTATTTTTATTTGCTAGATTAGGCACTTTCAGGGGAACCAAGAATCCCATTATTGTATTTATTTCTTCTTTTGTCCCTGAAAAATATTTAATAAGATCAAAGCCCTTATTATAAAACTAATGCTTTAATGTATCCCCTTCCTTTATTTTCTCATTCATTTCAAATATTATATTTGTCTTGCTGCCAGAAGTTGTGGATGCTCCACGTTAGAAGTTTTTAAGAGGAAATTGGACAACCATTTGCCTGATATGGTATAGGATCTCCTACCTGAGCAGGGGATTAATCACAATGCTTGTTACATTAATATTCAAAACTGTAATTACTATTGATAGAATATTCACATATCTTCTCTATAATCATTATTCTAATCTGTATTCTAATATAATAGAATATTAAGAATCTAAAAGTATTATATAAATATTGTTTTATTGAAATAATATACTGTATTAAAATGGAGAAAAAATGGCCATTTTAGATGGCCTGTATGACTAGATTTAATAATATGTTAAAGGCTGAACTATTTCTTTATTAATACTTTATAAATATATCTCTATTTTCTCCAACTGTCATTCATTTAATTACTGTTTTAAAATATGTTTATTAAATTTGCAATATTATATTTTATTGTACTTTATCATATCTTTTATCTGTTATTCTTTACCAATAAAATATTTAAATTCCTAAAAAATATTGAATTTTTGACTGTCAGTTCTAGGGCAAAGATCTCATGTCTTCCTGTATAAAGAGCTGTGCATATTAATTTTACTTTATAAATACTCTATTTGTAGTATTTAATTTAATGTAAATATTTTACTCTGTATCTCTCTTATTTTTCCCCGTCTCTTACCTGGAATAATTTGACTGAAGAACAAGAGAGCAGCAAACAAAAGGAAAAGGGTCTTCATGGCTGAAGGCTGATGTTCTCCAGATGTGTTACACTCTAGGCTGCTTGAAGTTCTTAGGAAAAGAAGGGGTCTGTCTATATAAGACTTTCAGAGAACTATGACATCATGAAACTTGAGAAAAACCTTAATCATTAATATATTTTGGGAAACCCAGTTTATTCCATTTCTAAATGCAAGGGCAGAATTGCAAAATGTCTGATGTAATGCATCAATTGCTCTAGACCATGGAGTACAGCCAGGTAAATGAGGTAACGTTCGCCAGATACAGAAGACTACTTTTGCAAAATGGTTGTGATGCCAGAGATTTTGCCACACAGTCTCATCTATGCTAGCCTTGAATCAGACTGAGACAGAAGTTATCATTATTAAGCTGGAGAATCTGGAGGATTTTTCCATTATTACTCCACATCCATATTGTTAATGATTTTCAAATGGCATTTATACTGCATAGTGATGTCACAGACTGTAGGAGTATAATCTGATGATCCAGAGCTGAGTGCAGCCATAGAAAGTCTTGGTTACTTTTATTTATGACCCTCTAACTACTCCTTAGGCTGCTACTAAATTGCATTTTCAAGGAGATAGGAAATGTGCAATTTGTCAGGACTTATTACCTTAACTCCTAGAATTAACTCCTAGATTTCATCAGCCAGCATAGACTGATTCCCCTGCATTGAAGCATGAAAGGAGCTTCTTTTCATATTCATTTGAAGAGTTCCTGTCTGCCTTCAACCATACCCAGTCCCAAACAATAAGAGAATGCAAGCCATGAAAGGATTCCATTATACTCTTCTGGTGACTTGCCTTCTAGTCTCATTCTTATGTATAATTTTGTAAATAAAAAAAATCACACCACTTTGTTATTTTACCATCAAAGTTGAATGGGAGGCCACATACAGGCCACAGCTACCTATTTTTCATGTCTTAGTTGATAAAATATTATCTTCCAGCTTTCTTCAATCTTCTTTGCTTCCTGGAATGGCCTGATCACTGTACAGCTTCTTAAAGGTTAATGTCTAATCTCCTTCTACTTCCATGAGAATATCTACTCAGTTATGAACCATACTATGAAACACAAAAATCCTCAAGGAAATAGTATCATTGCTAACACCAGTGCTAACAAATGGTAGCAACAACTCAAATACGTCTTACAGTAGCAACCTGGAGGGAAAAAACATTAATGTATATCCTCAAATTTTCTAAGCTAAGGTTCCCCACAATTTTTTTAAAACTGAACTTAAAACTAATATGAGGATTCCTTTCTACCTCCCACTTCCTCAGGGAGAACTTCATTCTGGTTACTGTTTCTCCTGTTGTGGATCTACTTGGAATGAAACAACTAAATTATAGCATTGTTCTTTTTTCTACTGAAGGTAAAATCAGACTCCGCTGGAAGTAAGTACCAGTAGTTCTGTTTTGAGTTTCTTGACAGAGAAGCCTAGCCAGTGGCTTTGGCAGGCACCACACAAGGTGTAGTCTTGGCTTATAAAATGAGATAGAATTGAATATTCTGAATTCCCACATCACGTTATTCTCCTGTACAGAATGAGCAAGCTGCATTCACTCAAGCAGGCAAGTTAAAGCAGCCAAGACCCCTCCCAAGTTTTACTGACTACCAAAAAGCTTATTGAGGAAATAGGGAGGAAGATATTTTCTTTGCAGCCCTGCTTTGCTGATAAAACATATCTGATAGCCGGTGTAAGAGAGAGAGATGGCCCCTAACCCAAATAATTGTTTGGGACTTCTAGCCTCATGTACAAAAAGGGGGAAAGGAAATGAGGGCAAGCCTTTCAGGCAAGCCTAGTGGGAGACTTCACATTAATTCCTTTAGCTGGTTGAAGACTTTGTGCTGAGATTAAAGAGAAAGACAACATATATTTATAAGATTAAAGGAGATGTGAGAGAGGCCAGAGAAATGGAATGCTTCTCTGTAGGCGGAGAGGGCAGCCTTAGAGAAGGACCCAGATGCTGAAGAAACACTCAGGAGACAAATATGGAGAAAGGCAACACCCAAAGAGTGGAAGGCAATATGTCCAGTTCAAGAGAGACATGGTGGTGCAGTGGTTGGAGTGCAGAACTGCAGATTACTTCTGCCGACTGCCAGCAGTTCAGCAGTTTGAGTTGCACCTGCTCAAGATTGATTCAGCCTTCCATCCTTCTGAGGTCAGTAAAATGAGGGCCCAGATTGTTGGGGAGCAATATGCTGACTCTGCAAACCACTTAGAGAGGGCTGTAAAGCACTGTGAAGCAGTATATAAATTTAAGTGCTATTGCTATTAATGGAGTAGTAAACTGCCTGGATCTACTAAGGGCATAAACTAGGTTTCTGTGTGAAAAGAAGTCATAGGGGAAAGATTAAGTTGCTCCAAAACTTCCAATCAACACTAAAAAATCTTCAGAAAGCAATATTTATCATGATATCCATTACATCTCAGAGTGATATCTATAAAGCATATGGATTGAACAATATCTCCTTTGGCCTTTATTGTTGTTGTTGTTAGAGAGGTTTTTATTAGAATGGCCACGTAAAATTAAAAAAAGTCCCAAAATGAATTCTTATCTCCAGATCATTTAGGCCTGGAAGTCATGCAGAAAAGGCATTGAGAAGGGCTGACCGACAATATCTGGACTTTTTCTCTAGCCCTGTAGAGCCATGCTTACCCCAGATTACTGCAAAGGAGATATTGTTCCCATATACCAGAAGAGGTGTTGGGCAATACAGCTGTTTCTGTTATACACAATTTAGCTGACTCACCCAATATGGGAATCCATAATGCGGCTTCTTGAATTTGGTTTTGGCTTTGCATATTCTATGAGTTAGCTAATACGATTATTCAGGAAACCCTGGTTAAACAAAACATGATTAGTAACTCCTGGCTATAATTTTGACCTCAATTAGGATAAACCATTCCATTTCAGTCTTTTTGATTGAGAAATTTCTTGTATATCTATGGCAACATGTCATTTTTTCAAACATATTTTGAAAGTACCTTTTCCCCCATCCTGTTTTCCTATTTTATTATTGCTAACTTGGACTTGGTCTCTAGAGAACCAGGAATATTTTCAAAGTCAACTTTTAGAGATGAGTCAGTTCAAATTCAATGTTCCATGTCTCCTGTTCCCTATCCACCCCCACAAAAAGGCAGTTGATGTGTTTTCTGTCAGATCTTTGATGCCAAACCCCAGAAGGAGGCACGGAGTATAAATTGCATTTCCCAATAGCATTTAAAAAATGTTGTTGCTCATTTTCTAATCACTGGGGCTACAGTCTACTCAATTTCTGTTCTGCCCTATAAAGACTAATGAAAAAATTCTCCATATCCAAAAGTTATATAAGCACGAACCATTCCTCTTCCTCCTCCCCTGTCCGATATCATTTACTGATTAACTGGACCAGAGAGATAAGCCCAGTAACAAAGACATTCCACTGATATCTTTCCATCTTTGATTGAGTCAAGGCAAAAGCTCTTCTACTAACACATTTTCCCTTTCCTAATTGAATTAAGGCAAGGACTTCCTATCCTGTCCTTGACTGAATCAAAGCAAAGCTTAATAACATTGTATCCAATGCTATCTACCTAAGAGACAAACAACAACAAGAAAAATAGAAAATATCTATGAGAATCTGGAGATTCCCAATCATCCAGGTCATGGTTGTCCCAAAGGTGCTTTTCCCAACTGGAATTGCTTGGTTAATCTTTCTTGGTTTGAAAAATAGCATTAATCAAAAATATTCTCTGTAACCTCTCTGAAACTAATTACTTTATTGCAAAAACACTTCTTATCACTGTATCGGACAAATTGCTGGGAAAGGGCAGACTTTTCTAGGACTTGTCAAAACAAGAACTATTAAACACAAATCCCATGAAATGGACAATCAATCATGCTATTCGTAGTGGGAAATAAATTCTCTATAGAAACTAACTTTTTACTATAATAATATTCCACTTTAATAACCAGCTTTCTTTCTCAGTATTGAGCTCCATTCTTCTTCCTCCATCACAGCCACAAATATGAACACAGATTAGATCATAATGTGCATTGACTTATGGACATATAAATGTACACTGAAAAGGCAACCATAACTGTGATGAGGGGAAAAAGGCTTGGATGTCATGGCTGCAAGACATTTCTAACACAATAATGCTGGAAGTTTTTAAGAAGAAACTGGACAGCAATTTGTCCAAAATGGTATAGGGTTACCTGCCTGAGCAGGGGGTTGGACTTGATGACCTTCAAGGTCCCTTCCAACTTTTTTATTTATTATTATTATTATTATTATTATTATTATTATTATTATTATTATTATTATTATTATTATTATTATTATTATTATTATTCCTCTCAAAATTACCAAACTTTTAAGCACAAGCCAGAATAAATTGTTAGATAAACTGAATCTGGCATTTTGGTATTTTCTCCCACTTCTTTTCACATTTATGAAAAAATGTGTTTGATTTTATAAAAGAGTAAATTAATTGGGTGGAAATCTTACACCAGTCTAGCAAAGCTGTACTGCAATACTCTAGATGACCACTAGAGAGAAACAAAGAGTTAAAATTTGCTTGTATTATCAAGGATCAGGTTATTCATGCTTGCTATAGATACGTTTAAGATGAGGAAACTTTAAAAGAGAGAGAGAGAGAAATGATAATCCAAATGTCTGTCTGTCCATCTATTTATCTATCTAGCAAGGAAAGCAAAAAAAAAAATGTACCTAAGAAGATCAATTTGCAAAGGGGAAGGGGCGATAGTCACACTGCAAGTTCCACCACTTCTTTGCTCTTACTTAAAATTCCTTATTTGTTATCTGCTTATCCTCATTCAGAATAATTCAAGAGCTTCACATGTTTTTCCTTTAAAATAATATCTGAGCTCTATTACAAATCAATTAAAATTCTTCCCTCCTGATCCTCTTTCTTCCTTTTTTCTTCTTCGTAGAGAAATAACTTTTCTCAAAGCATTTGATCCATTTCTGTCATATCCTACTCTATCATACTTGCTTTTTGAAAGCCTAAAAATTCTCCAACATCATTAGAAATATTTTTCTTTGTAGAAGAAGGGAAAACAACAGATTCTTTTAGCTTTTATTTTATG